ACTAAAACAAAAATTATATACATATACAATGAAACAGAAAAGATTAATTTTTCATTTTCTTCATAAACCTTCCAAGCATGTATATATTATTTAATTTCTAGAAACGGAAAACACCAAAAAGAAGTTAACACTTAACAGAAAAAGCTAACCTTTCATGATTTTTCTTTAAAATAATTTTATTATTTTAGTACAAATAATAAAATAAAATAATTTCAAAATTAGCTAACCTTTCAAACTCAATAAAAAAAAAATTAAATTTTATCACGAAATTATTATTTTTATATCAAAATTTTTAGCTTGGGAAAAGTAAAAGGCAGGCAATACCCTCTTAAAGTCAAATTTTGTGGATGATTGGATTCAAAAGTGTATTTTAATATAGGCAATGACTTTTTAGCTCAGATGTTGACAATTTCTTTTACTTTAATTAACTTTATAAAATGGACGTTGTGACACACCCCATAACTTTAAATATTTTTTTAATTAAAGGAATCAACGATTTTTTTTAACATGAATATCTTTGATGATGTATTTCTTGTTACATGTTAACATGTGTAATTTGTACAATGACTTTTTCATATTTTTTTAATTCTGAAAACATATTTTAATTGCTAAAATTTAATCATGGTGTTTATTTTAATCTTTTTTTTTAAAAGGATAGAAAGCACGTAGCTTTGAAGGAACAAATCTAATGAAATATTTATATTCTCAAGTCCGTCAACCTATTTGTTAATTTTTAGTTTAAATGAACGGACTGAACTGAATTTGAATGGTTAAAAATATATGGGTTGGATTAAATTTTAGAGGATCAAAATAAAATAGATATGTTCATCGTACATGATAATTTTGTGTTCTACATGGCGTCCTACGCGTATTATATCGCATAGAACACGTGTGTCTACTTGTTCAATTTAATACAAGTTGAAGTGTCAACTTGTGCACACCTAAAGTTGGAGGACATAGATGTTAGCTGAAGCCAAGTTAAAAGACATATTTATGTATTATGCCTTAAGTTTTTGTGTATATATTTTTAAAATATGAATTTTCTTGGTCAAAATTTTACCTCCCCAAAAAGGTAAAAGAGTGAAACATTAAAGACACTATGACTTGAAATGGTGTGACCTCGATAATATTAGCTTATAATAAAGTGGATGGGGGGGGGGGGGGGGGGGGGGGGGGGGGGGGGGGGGTTAGAGAAAGCCCTCAATTGATGATACTTGCAACTCATGGTACCCACTTGCATTAGGCATATATCATATCTATACTTTTATGACAAGTCATTGTTGGTATTCAAATATGTGTCTCTTAAGTTAATTGATTGAGCAAATTAAGATATCTTTTAATTGCATTTGCTTACTTCAAATCAACAAGTTATCTTTCTTTGTTGATGCAAGTTTTGTGGATGAGGAACAACTTTGTAGTAATTTCTTTATTTAAGAAGAGCCGCCTTAATGAGCTTGCGTGACTTAAAGAACCATGAAATGTCCCTTTTGTCTTCATGTTCAAAGAACTTCTAGACCATGTGGAATTAAGAGTGAAATTGAAACCAATATTAGTAAGGTTTGGAAAAGGACCGCATCCTAAATGATATCTTGAGAAATTTAAATAGAACACGTGTGATCTCACGAAGACGAGTGATTCAATTGCTCTCTTTACTCGATTGAATGAATATATACAGTTGCGTGAGGCAGCATAAGTGTACTTCATGATGGTAGAGTCTGAAAAAGGACTGCATCATAAATGATAACTTTAAAAGGCTAAATAGATCACATATGCGATCTCAATGGACCTATTAACCAAATAGCATAATCGACGGCCTCATGTCTCTGCAAATTTGAGTTTATGAGTTCTGAATTTTAGAAAAGACAGATTAACAGGTTCTGAATGAATTATTTCTACAGTTAATTTCTCATATGTCACTCAACTAACAATCATTAATGATCTCAATAGTCAGCTTTCTTCATGATTTCAACCCTTTTCAATAAAAAAAAAATTGATTTTTTGAGATAATAATTACTTATGTTAGAGAAAAAAGGTATATGTGAGTTATTTGTGTAACATTAGGGGTATATATAAAGCACTTTTTGAATGACAGATATATTAGCTCTATATGACAAAGTTAAGGATATATCAAACCATTTTCTCTTTTTATATTGTTTAACTTTCACTACAATAGAACCTTAAGAACCAAAATATCATATACTTTGGAAAACAAATGAAATATCGACAAGTCAGAAACAAGGTCGGTAACAGGATCTTACACGTGTCCAGTACCAATTTGTCGTCAAACAAATGCCACTTAAACAAATGAAAGCCCAATGGGCCCTACAATAAGATGCCAGAGTTGATGTTGATGGGCCGAGCAACGTGGCGGGCAACACATGGAGTTAGTGGGCCTATGGAGCCCAAAAGTCGCTTTCAGTTATTCTTTTACAAGGCGATGCGGATAAGAATGTAGATATTACTGTAAGTTGGGGGCCCATTATTGATTAAAAATTTGGGCATTGGTTTTGACAAGACGTGAAAGTGTCCAAAAGTGGAAGGGGCCTATTTTTATCACACGTGTAAGGTCGGTCTCATGGGACACCTAGGGATTGACAATGGGGCGGAACGGATGCGGGATGAGTTTAAAGCTATGAGGGGTGGGGAGGTTTTAAGGTTGTGCGGGCGAGTTGAAGTGATTTTTTTAAAAACTAATGCAGGACGGGGCAGATTGTTGGTCTATGCGAGTTCAAATTTAATTTAAACCTTTTAAATGTTATAAGAGTGACAGATGGTTCAATCAAAATTAATACAACTTCTTACATGGTTTTCTCAATTGACCTCTAAAAAAATAAAATTTTAAGTCATCATCTATTAAATTAATACAACTTAATGAGAAAATGAATTTATTTTTATGAATTTTATTTTTAGTATTAAACTTAACTAGAAAAGGAAAATATTAAAAAAATTATGTGGGACGGGTTAAAATTTTTGCGGATTATGTTCAACCCACCCTGCACTGCCCCATTGCCATCTCTAGGGACACCACTACCTGTGTGTGTACCGCGTGTCACAAAGAAAGAGAACATTCTATTCACAAGGGTCGTTTGGTAGCTGATTTTTAAAGTGTCAACCAAATACCGTAGTAATTTTATACACAAATAACTTTTTTTTTTTTTAATCTATTTATTAAATATCGTACAAGTTATACGAAAATTAGTATATGAATACCTTAGTTTGTCCTACCAAACAACCCAACTGTATTTTGTCATTTCGTGTGTTCATGAGCTGTCCTTTTGTTTATAAAGTGAAAAATTAGAGTTGTGTTCGGTCATGAATGCTAATTGAAATTGATTGTCGAATTTTGGTGAGTTATATAAAGTGAAACTATTTTTTTAGATGTTTTTAAATTTCTGTAAAAAATGATTGTTGAATTTTGGATTTTTTAGGAATCTTACGATCGAATGTATCTTCTGGAGTAATGTAAAAACAAATTCATAACCAAACGCCTTCAAGGAGTTCTAAAATTTGTGATTTAAGGTATTTCTTGATTAGTTGTGTGATTATAAATCACTTTATAAGAATAAAAAGAAAATTTTAAAAGCAAATTATCTTCCTGTTTGCAATAAATTTTAAAGCTGACAGAAAATAAATTACAATCACAATAAAATATGAAGAAACGTGAATTTTATTGATGAATATTGTGGGTACAATTATGTTGATCCCTTGATTCTTTTCTCATAAGATATATATCCATGATTTGAGGGCCGTTTGTGGCATATTTCTCAATTTAGGATACTTTGGACTTGATCTACATAATTTGAGGGACGTTAGTGACGTATTTCTCAAACTATGATGATTTGGACTTGATCTACATAATTCGAGGGCCGTTAGTGGCGTATTTCTCGAATTAAGATGATTTGGATTTAATCTATTTATGAAGATTCCATGACTTTGTGAAATATTTGAGATCTTGATCTTTAAAAATACCCAAGAGTTTATGAAATATTCGAAATCTCGATCTCTTTATGGAATTTTCGAGATGTCTTCTCAAAGGAATATAGTACCCTTTATATAAGGATACTGAACTAGGGTATATGATTGAGTAGCCTCCAAGACTTCTAATTGGAATTGAACACACCTTATGGACTCCCAACTCGAATTGAACACGTCTTGTAGAGTCCCACAAAATTTCAATGTTTATCCTTCCGTCATAAAAAGATCATATATATTTTTAAATAGACTAAAAAAAAAGAGTTCAATATTATCCTGCTTTTTATCATTTTGGTTCTAAAGTTCCCTTTTATTTTCTTGACTAAATGAGCTATTGCAAGGTGTCTAATCGATATCTTGACTCGTCTAATAAAATTGGATGGACATTGGACGCATGTGTTTATTCAGACTCACATATGTTACTACAAGAAGTTTTGCGACAACAATTTTGAAAAGTCCGAGCAATATGTAGGTCTCAACACTCAACACACACAAAACTAGAAGCACAAGGTGGCTGGTATAAGGTCCTTGATTTAGTTTATACTGATGATACATATAAAGAACATACATACAGTGGGTTGTGTGACATACCATCCACAGGTTTTATCGAACTAATAGTTTAGCACGTTCGTTGTTGTTACTATGGGCCTTGCCACGCTTACATGAAACAGATCAAATTTACTGGCAAGGACATGTTATTGATGTGCCAGTTGGTTCAGATAGTTTTAGAATTTGGTTGATCCAAAGTCACTACCACAAAAATAACTTCTAACAATAATAAATATACATATTAAGAAAGAGTGATAAAGCTTTTATCGGCATTCATTATGCTACTATAGGCTTTAGGGACATTTACAAAAAGTGCTAAAATGTAGTTGTCACTAGTAATTGCCTCTAAAAAAACATATTTAGTGGCAATTAAGGTATTGCCGTTAATTAATGGCTGCCAAAAGATTGTTTTTTGTGTAGTGAGTACATCACTCTTACTGCATATAGAAAGTAAAGAGGAAAAAACAAAACCAAAAGAATTGTGTTAGACAGCTGAATTTGTCTTGTTGAGCCATTCTTGATTGAAGAGATGATACGATGGATCCCAGTACAAACAGTAACAATGTGTGAAGAAAAAGTTATAGTACTGATCTGTCCTAAGCCTTGGTGGACAGAGTTACCTGGTACATATTGCTGGTGGGAGGTACCCCGTGGAATTAGTCGAGATACGCGAAAGCTGGCCAGACACCATGGTCATGCAAACAAAAAAAATAAATTACTGATCGATTAAAGAAAGAAAAAGGACTTCTCTTTCTCTTCTCCATTTCTGTTTTATACATAACGGGTTATACCAATAACCTCAAAACTTCAACAGTATTTGATATCAGCTTGATGAGCTCATAGAGCTTTTAAGACTTCGAAGGATACTCCACATGAACGTCGAAATAATGAATAGTATTATGCCGGTTATGATGGCATACTTGAGTCCAAGATTCACCAACAAGTTCACTAGAAGGCCAGCCAAGACAACACCAACAAAGTTTGCTGAAACAGCGGACCAGAAAGGCATGTCGAGCACAGAAGCTATGATGGCTCCGGTCCAAGCTCCGGTTCCAGGAAACGGAACTGCCACAAAGAGCATTAAACCAAGCCATTGAAACTCTTTCACAGGGCCTGCCTTGTCTTTGGCCCTCTCAAACAACAAATCCAAAAGCTTCGATGCTGACTTGTTCGTTCCAGCAAGGAAAATTGCTAACTTCTTTAAGTAGAGCACAATGAAGGGGACAGGAACCATGTTCCTACATATGGAGCACCAGTTCTTGATCATTAGCAAACAGAAAATAAGACACACTCCAAGTGCTACCATTTCCACTCATGTAAGGTTAACATTGTCACTATAGCTTCCGAAGTCTAACAAATGTAAAACAGTGGCTATAGAGATTGTTTGATAGTTACTTGGGGGTCGTTTGGTAGAGTGTATAAGAACAGTATTGAATAGAGTATATTAGTAATGTTGAGATTATTTCTTATTGATTGTTTGGTTTGGTGTATCAAAAGGTGGTTTTGTCTTTAACATACCTATCCATGAATTGGTAACCCTTGCATTCCTACTATCATGATTTGCTATCTATTAATTATACACCATATGTATAATACTGGATAAGTGGATAGGGTGTATAACCAATACATGTAGTATTAGTTTTATATAGGTTGGAAATCCTATCAAACAAAGGATTAAATAATACCAGAACTAATACATGTATTGTTTTCTCGAATACATCCTACCAAACGACCCCTCAGTCATTGGTACATGTTCTTCACCTTCATGTTTTTCACAGACATCAGACTTCCAAAAAATTATGTTCTCGCCAATGCAACACCAGCTTGATTATCAGCTGACAATGGTCAAATCGGATTCAATTGTCAACTGTCCCTATAGAGAACAGGATTGACTAACGAGTCTCAAGGAACTAAAGTTACATCTCTTTTCAAGAATTAGCTACTCATCAAAACACTACCTTTCACTCTCATATAAGATTACACAGACCCTATAGCTTCTGAAATCTAAACCATCGGGAAAAAAGACATCAATAGACATCAGTTTCACAGTAATTGATACTCCAGCTACCAGTAACTAACAACTGGATGCTTGTTTGTATACACATTTTCAATAAAACATCTGAAATACCAGTAACTAACATTCAAGTTACAGCACCACAACATTCCTCTTAACTGCAAGCAACATAATACAAACTCAAGAACAGTACCAAAAAAATACTTCTAAGGATAACAGACATTCAATTCAACAACAACAACAAACCCAGTGTGCTCCTATAATGTGAGGCCTGGTAAAGGTAGAGTATACACAGACCTTACCACCTACCTCTACCTCATAGATAGAAAAGTAGTTTCCTATAGACCCTCAGCTCGAAACAGACATTCAATTCAACTACAGCATACCCAGTGTACTCCTACAAAGTGAAGTCTGTGGAGGGTAAAGTGTCGCAGACCTTACCTCTACCTTAGAGGTAGAGAGACGGTTTCTAATAGACCCTCGGCTCGAAACAGACATTCAATTCAAGGACTTCAAATCAGGACAGTATAGCAAATGTGCAATCTTTCATCCAAATTACTGAATTTAAAGAGAAACTGAAACTTACCCAAGAACAGATAAAACAGTCAACACAGTAGGCTTAAGTTGCAACCAATAACCAACAGGAATTGCCCCACGAAGCTCAATAACAGGAAGTGTAGCCAAAGCAAACACAACAGCCTCATCAGGCCATCCTGAACTCCTCAAAGCATTAGCAACTTTTACACCAAAACCCGAAGCCCGAATAGAGTCAGCAGCAGCTTTTGCATCCCCAGAAACTGCAAACAAACCAACAGATACAGACGCCCAAAACAACACCCAAAACAGGAATTTCAATGGTTTCTCCTCAGTAAGTAATAAACCCTCTTCCTCTTCAATTACTTCAAGAAAACTATCAGAAGAAGCTCTAATTATCCTTTGAACACGACCCAGATGGCTAAAAGTTTGTAATATTGGAAAAGATTGAGTCTTTAAGTGAATTTGTCGATTTTGATGCAAGAAAGAGTGAATCTTGGGGAATGAGAAAGATGGGTTAGACTTTCTATAAGAGAAAGTCAATAGCTGTGGAGAGTGGGATAAAGAAGTGGCCATATTGGGGGATGGAAAATGTACTGTAAAGTGTAAAATACAGAGATTTTACCTCATTTGTTTGAGCTCAGCACACTATTGAGGTGCATTTTCATGGTGAATAATGAACAGAAGGAGGAGAACTTTGGATTTTGGATTTGGTATTTTGATAGGGTTTTGAAGATTTAAGTACATTTTAATATGGCCTTGAAAGCATAGGAAATACCATTAGGGAGGAGTAAACTAGGTGTTTAATCTTTGTACATTAATTGGTCAAAATTTCTTGAGTTAATATCTTAAAAAATCGTCCAATTAAGTTAATTATTTCAAAATAAAAAAATTGATTTCTCGCTTAATATCTTTTAAAATGGATGGAGAGAGTTTATATGAATCTTCTTGATAATTCGCCCAATAAAAATATAAGATATTAATTTAGAATCAAATATTTAGCTCATTTTTATTCAGCTTATCGACTAAGGTCAACAATTCCTTCATATTGGATGGTGCCAACAAAATTGAAGGAATTGAAGAAACAATTACAAGATCTTTTAAGTAAAGGGTTATATTAGACGAGTGTCTTCCTTTGAGATACTTCTATTTTATTTGTGAATAAGAAGAATGATTTCACGAGGATGTGTATTTGATTGTTGATACTTGAATGAGGCAATTATAAAAAAAATAAGTATCATCTAGCTTACATATATTTGTATTGTGATCTGATCAAATTTGAATTTGTGTCCAAAAAAAACACTTTAAGGTAAAGTCTCCTAAAAAAGAAGAGGCAATTTTATATCTAGAATTCAAATTCAAAACGTCTAATTAAAAATGAATAAGTATTTATCACTCAACTACAATTGTTGTTGATTTAAAAAAATTTCACCAACCAAAACTCAAGAACATTTTAATTGTTGAAATAAACAAATTGTCTTAATTAGTCAAATTCAAATCTTAATATTTAAATTCAAATAATTAAATTTTCTTAATATATAAACGTATATTAAAATTCAGACATATTAATCTCAATAAAAAAAAAACAAGTCCCAAATGCTACTAAATAATATATCTTTATTCAAAACAATCTTTCTAGTTATACACAAGTTTTGTTATAAATAATCAAATATTCCACAAAATGAAAATAATTAATTACAGTATTTAATTATTCTTTAGGTCTCTAACATAATTTTCTTTTTAATTTATTTCAAAAGAACCCGATAAGCTTGCTTAATACAATTTACATCTTTTATCTTTGGCTTAAGTCATTTGCAGCCACTTAAAGTTGTCCGCATATTTTTTACTTGAACACCTCAATTGAGACTTGTACCTATTGAACACCTCTAATACTTCAGATTGATACCTATTTGATATTTTTTTAATAATCAGCCCCAAATATTAAGTGAGTGAGATACACTCTCGATAACATGGCACAATAACAAATTAAATTATGACATATGTCATGTGGGTCAAAAATATTATTAAAAAAATAAGGAAAAGAAAAAAGATATTTTAAAATTAAAAAATAATTATTATGTGAACCCTTATACAACTCACCCACCGACCCACCAAACACTCTTCCCCTGCTGCTGCTCATCGGAACCATCCACCCTATCATTTCTTGCTCTCTAATTTTCTTCTTCTTCTTTGGATTGAACAATGTTGCTTATTGTGATTCAAAAATAAACATTGTTATACATTTCAGCCACTTAAATTCTTTCCCTGCTACCCATCGAATCGTCGACTACCACCGACAACATTTTTCTCTTCTTCTTTTTTCCTTGTTCTTTAACTTAAATCAACATGGAAGTTTTAGATTCAAAAATATTATTTTAAAAAAAGAAATAAATTTTTGAGAGTAAAATAATGTTCTGTAGATTAATTCAGTCCTAGATTTAAAGAATAAAAATTACGACCAAGTCATCCTAAATATGAAGAAGAAAACACGACCACGCTATTCTAGATCTGAAGAGAAAACAACGACTAAGCAGCGACATTAATGGCATAGATAATAGTAGCTGCTTAAATGAGGAGGAACAGACGAATGTGCAGGCGGCGATAATGAAAAATCTGAAAAAATAAAATGATCGCAATGGTAAAGAAAGTGAAGTGGCTAGAGAAAAAAATGAAAGAAAAAAGGTGTATGATGGCGGCGATGACGGCTGCTGGAGAAAGTAATGATAACCAACCCAAGGAAGAAGAAAGAGACTTTTAAAAAAAAAATTAGAAATTGTCTAATTATCTGTTTTCACGCATTCAACAATGGTGAATCACACTTAAAAGTGTCATGTAGGCAAAAAGTGTTCAAGCGGTATCAATTTAAACTAGTAGAGGTGTCCAATAGATATAAGTCTCTGTTCAAGTGAAATATGCGGACAACTTTAAGTGGCTACAGATGACTTAAGCCTTTATCTTTTATGTGATTTACCAACGGGAAAAGTGAAAAAAAAAAGAAAAGAATAAATAGTCCAAATCTCTTGTCCAACTTTTCCCAAGCCAAGTAGAACCCAAAATCATGGGCCGCAAGAGAGACAGAACCCACTTCAATCGCCACGTCCCGTACTCCTTCCCCAAGCGCCGCCGTCCAACACCAATCACCGACGATCCATTGCCGGTGCCGGAAGACAACTCATCGTCCACCAAGCAACAGCCGGTTACTGTGGTGGTTATTGGGGTTCCTTCTGAATGCTCTGTGCTCGACATTAAATCTCGTTTTGAGATTTATGGATCCATCTCTCGAACTCGTATGGACCCTAATGGTCTCGCTCATATCACTTTCCGTTCCACTGATTCTGCTCAATCTGCTGTTGAAGCTGCCGAAGATTCATCTTTCCCCATAACTCTCCACTCCAAGCCTGTATGTCCCTTTCTTCTCTATTTTTCTAATATCTTCTAATTGTAGAAATTTGTGTCAAGATTGCTACTTTTTGTGTACCTTTTGAATTTGTGGGTCTGTTAGATGTTTGCAAAATTGAGTTTTTGAACTTGTGATTTTTGGCACCCAAGGGTGTTCCTAGTGGTCATTAAAGTAGTTGAGAGCCGTGAGATCTCAGTTGAGACAAAAAAACACTAGGGGATTGTTTCCATCTGTCGTAGCTTTGGTGGACAGAGTTACCTGGTAGTAGGAGGTGGCAGGTCTCCTGTGGGAAAGTTGCTAGCGAGAGGTGGCAGGTAACCTGTGTGAAAGTTGCTAGTGGGAGGTGGCAGGTATCCCGTGTGAAAGTTGCTAGTGGGAGTTCGCAGATATCTCATATGAAATGTCGAGCAGCTGGCCTGGACATCACGGTCACAAAAAAAAGTTGTGATTTTTGGAATTTGATGTTGTGTTTGGACATGATTTTTCTTGGAAAAAAATTGAAGTTCTGTGAGTGGAAGTCTCAAAAATTTGGGAACCTGAAAATAGTTGAAGGTCAGATTCAAATTTCATGATCAAACAGATAGTCCCAAAATCTATGGCCAAACGCTAGCTATATTCTTGGTCTTAGCTCGGCCAAGAATTTTGGTATGTGGGTGTTACTTTAGCTGGTACAATTGATTTAAATTACATATATGGACAATGTAAATAGTTTTTGTACAATCAGTGTAGTATAACAGGTTGTAGCATGTATACACAGACAATGTACATAATTTTTGGACAATCAAGGTAGAGTAACACGTTGTAGCATGTTAATTACCATCCAAGATGTATAATTTGTGTATGGTTTTTTAAAGTAAAATTGAGAGCTGATGTATTGCGGCATTACTTTTGTTGGGGATGACAGGTTCAGGTAATATGGGCAACTGACCATGCATCACAGTGGAAAGAAGGTGTGATGCGAAAGGATGAACTATCCACATCAACGGTTGCATCGAAGCTAGTTAAAGCAGAAGTGCCACTAAGTAGGCACGGAAGAAGTAATCGACTGGGATCAGCAATTGTGAACCCCCGAGATGAGGATAATGATAATGCTGGCGGTAATGTTCGTGCACATGTTAGTACAAGGCTGGTTGAGCCTTACAAGGGTAGGGAAATTGTTGCCTATGATGATATTTTGTAACTTAAGGTCGTTGTTTGAGGGATTGCCTCACTTGTAACATTAGCTATATGGCTTTAGGCAAATGTTGAGTTTTTATTGCAGATTGGTTGGGTGATTTTCAGTTCTAGCTGTTCTTTCAAATAAGTTTCCTATCTTGTTTGTTTTTCTTCTGTGTGTAATACTAGCACTAAAAAATGATCATGTACGTAAGATTTTTTTTTCCATTTGAGTATGTAATTCATGTAGGCTTCTGTCTTAGCAAATAAGATGCTGGTCCTTGATTTGGATTTTGTTGAAAAGATAGATGTTACTACACTTGGGTTCCTCAATACTTGTACTTGCAGCATACCACTTGGAAGAAGTTTGCAGCGTTGATGAGTTTTCACATTACATTTTTAGGATTCTCCTACGTAAAGGGGATGTAGAAGAATCTGCTTTTTCTGTCATGGCTTTTAGCTTGTGTAATATATAGAAGGCAGCCCCATGCCACATAATCTTGTAGAGCTAATTCACCCTGTGTTAATTATCTTTTCTGGTAAGTACTGATGGCACATTTGAAACCTTCTTGTTGACTATTTTGGAGACATGTAACTATGACACAAAAAGTTGTTATATGGGTTATGAGAGTTGTGCATGATGTCTGTAAATGTTGATCAGATGTTTGTGGATGATGTTATTGTCTCGATGTTGAACAGTTTTTACTAATAATAATGCACTACATTGATATTGAGTGGTTACAAGAGTTGGAGCATTTAATTTTGTTCTTGAAATTGTGCATCTAAGGAATGATAAGATGTCCATCTTGAATCCTAGTGACGGGAGCTATCTCAAATTTTCTTACACTCATTTTCTGAACAGTATCAATGTATCATATGATGTAAATGAAGATGATGCTTGATTACAGGTTTCTTGTAGTTTGGTATGGGCCTCCCCCACCCAGCTTCTTGCTTCGTCGCTGATTTGGTAATCTCTCTTCCCCATAGGAAGAAATGTCATTTTGTTTCAAGCATAAATGATTTATATTCTTTCAACGTTTTCTTCCCTAGAATCCTGCCGTAACAGTACCAATTTAGCTGGGAAGGTTCATTGCAAGATAACTTGACAAGAGGAATATCTTAAACTTACTGTCTCTATTCTGCTACAGATTTGCTATTTATCTTTTGCAGAATTTTATATAGAATGATTTGCATTAACATCAATTAGAAGGTACCACTGTTCACCCTTTGCTCAACAGGTATGATCATCATAAGGCTTTCTCTGGGAATGAACTAGAGAATCAGGGGTAAGAAGGGCTTCAAGGCAAAGAAGTTATTTTTGAGCTAGTATCAAAGGGCTTCAAGGTAAAGAAATTATTTTTGAGCTAATATCAAATCATACTTAACCTGTAAGACATACGACTTATGAGAATATGAGATGACAATACATGTTGATGTTATTTCACCTTGTTGTACTAAGACTGAGAGGATAATGGAGTAGTTGCTCTATAAATTTTGCTAGAGTAAACTAGATGATTTATTTCCATCTGTTTGAGTATTCAAGCATTAAAATGGCACCTTATGAAGCTTTATATGGTAGAAAATGTAGATCACCAATCAGCTGGTTTGAAGTGGGTAAAACTGCCTTATTTGGGCTGCTGATATCAGTGCTAGTGGGAGGTAGCTGGTATTCTGTGGAATAGTTGAGGTATGTATAACTGACATAGACAACATGGTCATCAAAAAAAGGAAAAAGAAAGAATGTAAGGTTAGGTGGATTGTACAGCTAATGGAACTCATGGGCAAGATGTACTTCTATTGACAGAGCTGTGTTGATTGCTAGTCTTTTTAGAGATTCACACGGCCTGCTATGCGGTGCAATCTTCTTCAGCTTATTGTAAATAATACCTAAGGATTAACAGTATTGTTGCTAGGATTCAACATAAGTACTTCACTTTCAAGCCTATGGTACTCCTATTTGGGAATTATCTTACCATAGAAGCCTACAACCGCCAAGTGGAATCTGATGATCTGAAATTGATCATGTACTTTCAGGAGAGCTGCTTTTTCCTGATTATGGGATACCGACTGCAAACGAGGATGGTCAGGTCAGTTCTCAGGGTTAGGATAGTCCGTATTATGAGCCTACTCAGATCAGAACTCTTTAATCAACCTTCCCTTTTCGTGAAGAGATCCCAAGTCTCCAAGTGAATGACCAACCAATATGTTCCAGGCTTTAGACCAATCTTTGTTTTTTAATGAATGTAATCATCTTGTTTAGAAGTCAAGAGGAGCCTAGATATTCCATTTTTGTCATTGAACAAGAAGTTCAGGAAATGTAGATACCTCTTAAAGATTCATAGTTGAATTTGAAATTCTTTTATCTGTTTTGGGATATAATATATGTACTTGAGGGCTAATTTTGCCATTTTCCAGAGGAGCCATACATACAAGTATTTTTGTTGCAACGTTGATATATAATTAATGGAATGCCGTCAGTGGTAGATCTAGAATTTTCATTAAAAGGATTCGAAAAATAAAAATATAGTGCATATAATTTGAAGAGATAAGTTTCAAAACACACCTAAACTATACTATTTTTTTGAGTTTCATACCTAAACTATTGAGAGTGTTATACCACTCTCATCAAGGTTGAATGTTTTGTCCATGTGAAGTGTGATGTGACAATTTTTTAAAATTAAAGAGAGGTGTGTTTCTCAAACTAAAAAGTGATAGTTTAGGTATGAAACTCACACTCTCAATAGTTTAGGTATGAAACTAAAAAAAAGGATAGTTTAGGTGTGTTTTTGATACTTATTTCTAATTTGAACTTGAAACTTCAAGGTGAAGTTTGAACTCCCTAACCCACTGAATCAACATCTACGCTTGAAATTAAGAGATTCAAAATCTATATATAAACTATAAAAAAAATACTTTATATGTAGAACAAGTTCAAGTGAACACCTTGTCAAGTGACAACCCCTAAATCCGCCATTGCATGCAAGTACATTGCTTAGATACTCCCCCACAAACTATATAAACGATCCTGCTTCTCTTCATTTCTCTTCTTTTTATTTTCCCCAAATTCTTTCTTGGATTAATATGAGGAAATTAATGACTTAAGTTCAATTGATTAATCAATATTCTAATCATAATTTAGATAATTAATATTTCATAAACAAATTAGCAATACCCATAATCATAACAATATATTATCTTGTCCATAAATACATAATGAGCTTTTCTTTCTTTCCCTACTTTTGTTTCCCTACGAGTATTTATCTTCTTTTTGAATTAAATTACCCTTTGATTGAAATTTGGATCTTTCTTTCAGAATTACTGACAAAAATCATAGCTATCCAAGTATCTATCTGTTTATCTTTCACATATAACTTGAGAACGCACTTGTACAAAAATGTGTCAAGGTCCAGAAAGTAAACACAATTGTTATCTATGGAGAAAGGAGAAAACTAAACTCTCTACAACAAATGGGTATAGTGTTGTACCATTGCTGCAGCACAAGTGAGATGCCTTCTTGTAATAACACAGCATGACTAAGAAGTAGTCATTATTCTAAACTGATACGTCGCATCTTGCAGACGAGGTTAGCAGTAGGAAGATCAAGCTGATTCCCTGAATCTGATTTTATAAGATCCTTGAGCTGATCTTTAGGTGTTGAAAAACATGTCTGGAATGTAGCAAGACATGTAGGAATTGGCATTGATAGAGCTGAAAGTACATTGCTTAGATACTCAATATCAACAGAAAGTTGTTGTGCTCCACGATCTGTTATATACTGGATCCCTCGAAGCTGTTCCATGTAAAGTGCCGTGGCACCTTCAGCAACCTTTTCAAAAACAAAGGCAAAGGAAATAATTGTGAGAAGAAATACACTTGGAGACACAAGTAGATCCTAATCAAACTCCGCTTCTACATGTTGCCTCCTCATATTTTCGATTTTTTATTGAGTATTCAGTTGATAGCACAGATATTTGTAGGTAAATGCTCAACACTTGATCATAAAATATTTAACTAATACATATATACCTTGAACATCCATTCAGTTGCAAAGTACTGAGCCTCATCAGCATTGGGATCGCTGTTGGAGATATTCTCTACAAGAGGCTCTAGCTGTTGGGGTAAAGTAAGGAGATATTCACCAACGCCAGTCACATAAGATTGGGGGTATGCACTGAAGGTTGGGAGGGGCCTTAGACTATGTTCTTCAATAGATGACCATATGGGCAGCCGTGACAAATCATTGAAGTGCTGCCGTATTTTTGAAATGAGAACATCATAAACAAGCTCATTGACTGCGTCTGTGAAAGCTGTAACTCGTTGTGATGCTACTGGAAGTGCGTGGAACCTGGGATCTTTAGACTGCAAAAGGCACAACAAAGAAGTTGTCAATGTGAGATCAAATTGCCATTGTAGAAGATTTGGCAAGGATGCATTGAAGGAATATAATTGCTAAGGAACTCAAAAGAAAGACAAACTTCCAGATATGTATAACTATTGTGGGAACCACTGACCTGCTCCAATAAATTAAGAAGCTTCCGAGCCTTTTCAGGAATATCGACCAGTCTCACAGCTGCCACATCCAAGGCAGCCTTTCGAGCCACAGATAATTGCCCATTTCCATCATCATTGACTACATCTGGCTTGTTTTGATCAATACTTGACCCAAAAACTGAGAGAGAGAGGTTTGTACTCAACCTAGCAAGAGTAGCCTTGAGGGAAGCTTCAAAGACTGAAGATCTGCTGGTTAAACAATCAGCAACTGTGAGGATCTGCAGTGCACCTTGAACAAATGACCACTCCTCGTCACTTGATGTGAAGTCAACTTTACGTGCATTTGAAGCTGCTTCCCTTCTTTCTGCTCCTGTATCTTTCTTTGTACTAATAGCGTCCACTTCCAGTCCACAAACAGCTCTCAATGATTTTACGTTCTCCTGCAAAGTGGAAATATACTGTAGCATGACATCATCCAGCACGAGAATTAACTCATCCACCTCAGAACCACCAGTAAAGTTGATGCATCTTTCAACTGCTGCTTCAAGAAGCAAAATGACTTGTGGAATTGACTCTTCCATCCTTCGTACAGTTTCACTAAGTTCAACTCCCTGGACTCCCACAAGAGTAACAGCAGCTCCTCTGAGATCGAGTCCTGCAATCTCACTAGAGAGAACTGCACGCTCCATCTGTCCATATCTAGATCACAAATTTAGAAGCATTTAGGATACACATGCTTGATACTGAAAAGCAGATAACCTTGCAATTACGCTCCAGATCCTCCAATGACACCAGATGAA